CCAGTGGAGCCTCCGCCGGCCAGTCTACGGTCTCCGCCAGGCACCTCGTGAGTGGCACGACACACTGAGGACTACACTTGCGGCTCTTGGGTTTGCTCCTTCTACTGCTGACCCGTTTCTGCGCACCGACACCTCGCTGCCGCCGTTCTACGTCCTCGTGTACGTTGACGACTTGGTCTTTGCCACTGCTGACACTGAGGCACTGACCCTTGTGACCTCGGAGCTGCAGAAGAGACTCACTTGCACTGACCTGGGTGAACTGCACAGCTATCTTGGATTGCAGATCACCCGGGACAGAGCACGGCGCACCATCACCCTGGCTCAGTCACACATGGTGCACCAGGTCCTTCAGCGCTTCGGCTTCCAGTTCTCCTCACCACAACCCACTCCTCTGTCTACCAGCCACTCGCTCTCAGCTCCACCTTCGGACGAGTCCGTAGAGCCGAGTGGTCCATACCCACAGATTGTGGGTTGCCTCATGTACCTGATAACGTGCACACGAACTTACCTCGCGTACCCTCTTAGCCTCCTGGCTCGCTATGTGGCTCCCGGTAGGCACCGAAAGGTGCACTGGGATGATGCAAAGAGAGTACTGCATTACTTGTGCCGTACGTTGGGCATGGGGCTCGTGCTTGAAGGATGGGGTCCATTTGTCCTCACCGGTCGCGCAGAGGCTTCCTGGGTTGACGATTCAGCTACGCAGCGGTCATCACAAGGTTACACCTTCAGCCTTGGCTCTGGCTCTGTTTCCTGGCGGTCTACCCGCTCGTCTTCGGTTCTCAGCCCCAGTTGTGAGGCTGAGATCTACGCCGGGGCCATGGCTGCACAGGAGCTACGCTGGCTCACCTACCTGCTGACAGACTTGGGAGAGCAGCCTCTTTCGCCTCCAGTTCTGTACGTAGACAACAAGGCCATGATTGCCTTGTGTCAGGAGCACAGACAGGAGCACAGATTGAAGCACATCGCTCTGCGATACTTCCTTGCTCGAGAGTTGCAGCAGCGTGGCCAGCTTCGGCTTGCGTACGTGGCTTCTAGGGCCAACACTGCTGATATATTCACCAAGGCACTTCCGCCTGGTGATCATCAGCGCTTCTCTAATGTGTTAGGCCTTGTGCATACTTTGCCTCACTTGCTTACTGCGTGACTTTGCTTGTACTATGATCTATATATATACCTGCATGCTTGCACTTGTTAGGGTATGATCACTGTATTGTTTGTTCTCTTTTATGTAACTCTGCATGTGAGCTGGCCTTGTGGCCCTTTGCTTGTGCTCGGCCTATGTGTTGACTTTGTGATCCACCCTGAGCTTGCTTTGCTTTTCATGACTGGTCTTGTGACCTCTTGTTCTCCCCCACTTGGCCTATGGGGGTGTGTCAAACTTATATATAGCTTACATTGTGTAGGCTGTAGAGGGGTAGCCCATAAGGGGTACAACCTAATTAGGGTTAGTACTTGTACCCAACTCTTTGCTAGTTCATTCATTCTCGTTCATAATTCTGACAGATACATCCACAGTCGTAACTGTAGTCCTGGAGGGCACAAGCTTCGCTAAGAGAGCGATGCATGTCCCCCCTTTAGCTTCTATGGTGGGTGATGGAACGTTCTCGGATTGCGCCATATGGATAAGAACTGGGCCGTCCACTTTGTCGGGCCATCCGCACTGCAGATCCCTTGCAGCTGTTGCCTCTCGTCGTCCGCCACTTGTCTCCAACGATCTGGCCTCCCCTCAGCTCCATCTCCATCTTTAGCCATCATCCTGGCCTTGGATGCTAGCACAACTCTCGCATGCTTCACGAAATCCAGCACAGCACGGCGCCCCACTTTCTTCCTTTCGAAGCCAATCGCCCGCCACGCAGCATCGCACCTTGCCAGCCACACATGGCGCAACACTACAGCAATTAGTGTCATCTCTGGAAAACCCGTGGCCGTGCCACCCCTCTCAAAAAGCAGGTCCCCCAGAGATTCCATCGGCCTGCAAGGGTTCATCAGCTGCAGCGACCTCTTGAGCGCGCCAATGATCGGTTGTATTACCGGGCAGCTGTACAAACAGTGAGCCAGGGTTTCTTCCCCCCTCGCAGTGCGGGCAGTTGATCATCCTGCTGAAAAAATCCAGCCTTGCCCCCACCTGGAGGTTCATGCTGTGCACCCTGAGCAAAACGTCTCTCGCTTTATGAGGGACATTTATGGATTCACGGGCTGTAATGACCCTTTTCCAGTCAATCTTTTTCCCCCTCTCTAATTCCCACTCAGCCTGCCTACAAGACCGCCCCGTCTCCTTAGTGAGCGCGGCTTGGACTTGCTGTAGAGGTGCCAGGTTACCTCCGGCGAAGAGCTCGGACTTAGTTAGCAGCCTCGTCTTCGGCTCGCCTACCGGCCCCACCACTCTTTTTTCGCTAACCACTACCGGCCGCACCCTGACCACATCGAAACTCATCTCTCTCGCCCTCGCTGGTCCCTCCAGCACTCCTTTGCAATCTGGCAGGTGAAGTGTGGCGCTGATTTTGCTGCCACCCATCCCCCTTATCTCCCATGGATGTGTAGCTGGTGCATCCCCTCTGACATGGTCCACGAACTTAGAAGCCGCCTGCACGGCTTCCGCCGTCACTGGCTCCTCTACCATGGCCTCCACTCGAGTGGGATGGCCTTGTATGCCTTCACCACCATCTCCGCCGTTTCTTTGCTCCCCAGCTCCGTTTTCAGCTGCTCTTCTCCTTTCAGCGCCCTCCGTCCTCCAGGTTTGTCTGTGAGTATGTCTTTTATGCGCGTCGTCAGCAAATTCTCTGTGCCTTTCTGCATTCTGAAGGGGCTCTTCCCCCGATGCATAATACGTCGATTGAAGCACTGGAACTCCTCTTCCACTTCCCGTCTGTTCGCAGGCTCCGGCATCTCCGCGTAGGGGGATTCCATAAGACTTTTACCGCTGCTTTCCACCTCTCGCTTCCCTGTTCCCAGCGTTTCCCAGCTGCAGGATGTGCATAGGGCATGGCAGCCCCCTGCAGGAAGCACGCCGCTTTCTCCGCCAACCACCGGCGCGTTCCATCCGACTCTTTCAGCAGCTTGCCGATGCTGCGGACCGCCAGCCCGTCCAGACAGATTTTCGGGTCAATTTGACCCAGCCCCCCATCCTTCCTCGGGAGGCAGGCCAGGTACGCGCTCCACAGAATGAAGACCTTCTCCTCCGAGGCTTCCCCCCTAGATACGAAGGCGTAGCACTGCTTCCTTATCGTATCCCACGTTTTCTCCTGCAGCGGGTATACCTGCGCTTGGAACATCAGCACCGATAAGACGTAGCAGCTGACCACCGCCACTCTGGCTGTCGTAGTTATGTACTGTGCCTCCCACTTACTCAGCTCTTCCCTTATTCTCTCGTACGTTCTGTCCCAGGACGGACCGGCATCTCCACTCGGCGTGATCCACACCCCCAGGAGTCTTTCCGGCTCCTTAGAGGCTCGGCCTGATGCGGACATTGAGACATTGAATGACATTGAGGGCTGCGTTCTACGGGCTCATCAGCCCGGATGGCTACTGTGAAATAGGGTTCCTGAATCCTTCCTTCATAACCTGTTGTCGGCTATCAAGGCTCACGTTAAGCGCATGGCTGCCGAAGCAAAACAAACCCGAATGCCCGTAGAACAACCTTTTTGGCCCCCGAAATTTGAAATGTCACCGCCCTCCACGGGGTTTCCTTTCCTAGCAATCTGGCGCATCATTGATGCGCGCATCATGCAACCACTCGAGGTCGCATTATGGACGCATCAGTAGGTGCGGAGCACCCTCATTGGTCAATCTTCCTAGAAACCCGTAACATTTTGGCTCTCTCAAGTGAACGCCAGGAAATTGAATGCCTCAATTCTTAAATCTGCAGTATACATTTGTCAGCCGGGTTTAGGGTTTTTATTGTGTGCCTCACAGCTTTGGGGCAACTTTTCAAATTTCAAAAGTTTTTGAACCCAACCTTTCAAATGTATACTGCAGCTTTAACCTCAATGTCATTCAATGTCTCAATGTCTGCATCAGGCTTTGTCCATCAGGCCGAGCCTCAATTCCAAACACCGCCTTTGTCCATAGGATTCAGATGAATTTCCGCCATGTAACTGTTGAAACCCTGTCTTGCACTGGAGGGGCGAATCGCGTTGTCCCAACGTCATAAAGGGAGGGAATGACGGACCGCCCTGGTTTCGGGTTTCCGATTCCTTTTGGCAGTGGTTTTGACACCGTCTTGCTTCGCGCTCGAGTCCGATACCTTCGGTCAGTTATTTACGCTATTGCCCCTTTTCGAGTCCAGAGACTAATATTTTGTTTATTTATTGGGGTAGCATAAATTGAATTGTCGCGTCAATTACGAGAAGCTTGGGACAAAAATATGTACCCCTCATGGAGGGCATGCCATTTGGGAGGCATCAACCCTAAACACCATGAGTCAAGGTGTTTAGGGTTGATGCCTCCCAAATGACCAGCCATCCGAGAGGGGTTTATTTTTTCCACTGGCCACTAAACTGAAACCAGGTAACTTCATAATTTTCCTGGTCACAGGAAATTGGAAATGTAGAAACCAGCTGCCCCAAGGAATCGGACGCGATCGGAGAAGTGAGGCGGTGTCAAAGTCACTGCCCAAAGGAATCGGAAACTTGAAAACATGGCAATTCGTCATTTCCTCTCATAGAGGATACAGTTCGTTTCCAGAGAGTGACTGAACCAGGCTGCATTTTCTCCGGCGACCTCCAGGATATGCAAGCACCGTGCGCTGAGCGCGGCAAGAACTGTTAGGCCGGAACTCACTGGTAGTCGCGCCACGCCCAGTTCCTCTAGTCCAAGCGCTTGAATTTGTTTCAGGGAGCAGCGATGGTAATCAGGGTTTCCATTGTGAATACCAGCAGCCGCACGCTCCGCTAATACCTTTCGGAAGACATTGCCGTGACGGCATTGCGGGTCTACTGAACTACCCTGAAATTCGCGACGGTCAATGTCCCTCTAACACATCGCCGATTTACATTTTTGTGATGGCTGTCGCGCGCGTTGCGGCGGCGCTGCTTATGTTCGCCGCCGCCGCCGCTGTCGCCGCTGGTGAAGGGCCCGTCGCGAGCGGGGCGTTAGCGAGAGCGAGAGTGGGCGAGCTGGCTGGGGTACGGCGGCGAAATGGTTCGGGCGGTGAGGCGCGGGATGACCGTGGATGGCGCGTGGGTGGGAACGACGATGCGTGGAGGGGGTATGAGGTTGAAACGGGCACGAGGGGGGATGTCGTGAGTGATCGTGTAATTGGGGGATTACTAGATGGCGCTGACAATGACGGAGGTGACAGTGACGGAGGTGACAGTGACGGAGGTGACAGTGACGGAGGTGACAGTGACGGAGGTGATGGTGAGAGTGAAAGTGCTGATGGCGACGATGTGGGTGGGTGGTTGTCAGGGCGGCAGTCACAGCAGGCCGCGCGTGGCGGCGACGAGAAGGGGACGCGACAGCGGTCGCCAAGGGGCGCACGGTGGGAGGGGCAGGGGGAGCGGAAGCGGGAGGGGAGGTGGGAAGCGATACGGGGAAGGGAGGTGGCGGAGACGCGACGAGCTTCAGTGCGCGGAGAGGCGCGCAGGCGAGGGGAGGGCAGGCGAGGCACGGGTGGGCGACGCAGGCTGGCGGATGGGCAAGGCAGTGAGGGGGGCGGTGGCAACGACGTCAGCAGCGATGGGCATGAGGGCATGCACGTGGGCGCGCGTGGGGGCATGGCGGGCCCTGGGGTGTGGGCGGACGGGGTTAAACGGCACACGCGGCGGGCAGGGGACAGATGCTGGAGCCAATGGGAGATGCGCATGTATGTCACGGTGAGATGCATGCATGTCACGGTGAGATGCATGCATGTCACGGTGAGATGCATGTATGTCACGGTGAGATGCATGCATGTCACGGTGAGATGCATGTATGTCCCGGTGAGATGCATGTATGTCCCGGTGAGATGCATGTATGTCACGGTGAGATGCATGTATGTCACGGCGAGATGCATGTATGTCACGGTGAGATGCATGTATGTCACGGTGAGATGCATGTATGTCACGGTGAGATGCATGTATGTCACGGTGAGATGCATGTATGTCACGGTGAGATGCATGTATGTCACGGTGAGATGCATGTATGTCACGGTGAGATGCATGTATGTCACGGTGAGATGCATGTATGTCACGGTGAGATGCATGTATGTCACGGTGAGATGCATGTATGTCACGGTGAGATGCATGTATGTCACGGTGAGATGCATGCATGTCACGGTGAGATGCATGCATGTCACGGTGAGATGCATGTATGTCACGGTGAGATGCATGTATGTCACGGTGAGATGCATGTATGTCACGGTGAGATGCATGTATGTCACGGTGAGATGCATGTATGTCACGGTGAGATGCATGTATGTCACGGTGAGATGCATGTATGTCACGGTGAGATGCATCTATGTCACGGTGAGATGCATGTATGTCACGGTGAGATGCATGTATGTCACGGTGAGATGCATGTATGTCACGGTGAGATGCATGTATGTCACGGTGAGATGCATGTATGTCACGGTGAGATGCATGTATGTCACGGTGAGATCCATGTATGTCACGGTGAGATGCATGTATGTCACGGTGAGATGCATCTATGTCACGGTTAGATTTCGTTCCTGCTGTTCTCTTGTTTCACCGTTCACTCCTCGCCTCTTCTCCTCCTCTTCCTGTCCCCTCGATCTCAAGCCTCACTCACTCACTCATGCATGGCCTCTGCGCTGCGCCTCCCCCACTGGGTGTACGGCAGCGCCCTGATCGCCAGCTGCCGCCATCCATGGCGTTGAGGCGGCGTCTGTCGGAGTACCGTCGGATGCACCGCCGCTGCACGCAGATCCACGACTGGCACGCCTTCTACAGCAACCCGTGAGCCTTCTACAGCAACCCGTGAGCTTTCTGACTCCAGGCCTTTGCCGCTTCTAATCCAATCATCCTCCATGCCTCGCCCATACCTCTGCTGCTCCTTTTCCACGCCTTTGCCGTCGCCATTCCATGCCTTTCTCGCATCGCCCCACCCATCTGTGCAGTGCACCCATCGCCCCATCAATTGCTGTGTGGGGGGGTGGCGGGGCAGGTCTACGGGGTGGAAGGATGGCATTGAGGGGCTGGGGAACTGCAAGTATCTCTTCTATATGCCGCCCGCTCGCCATGGTAAGCGGCAGAAATCTATGTTAGCCAGCGAACCACAAGTTGTTGATACTTCTCAAAATCAGATGGGACGAAGATAAATGTTGTTGATATTTCTCAGAATTATCCGTGGTTCCAGTCCTGACTGGATCCCATGCACCACCTGCTCCCGGCTATCACAAGCTTTGCGCGGAGCATGATGCCTGCCCACCATGCACCAGCTGGCTCGCTCGTTTGCTCTGTCTGGTGCACGCTGGGAATGTGTGATGGCCCAGAGCTACTGGAAATTGTGTTGTGCTCATGTGCAAAGGAAGCTGAGAGCATCACAGGAGATAGCAGAGGGAGTGAGTGCGGCAGCACAATCTGCGGTCTGGAGAGGTGGCAGTGAGGCGCGAGGCACTGCATTGTGTGGCGTAAAACTCCCCCGAGAGTGAATAGAAGGCTGAACGGGGTGCAAAGAAGCGTGTGAGGATGCAGTCGAGGTTCGTCCATGGGTGTGTATGTGAGGCTGTAAGGCAGGTATGCCACTGGTGAGGATGGTTGCTGTCGTGCTGTGCATGCGCCACCCAAATCCCCTTCTCCACCTGTGCTGTGCCTTCCCCCTCTACACCTGTGCCGTGCCTCCCCCCTCTCCACCTGTGCCGTGCCTCCCCCCTCTCTACCTGTGCCGTGCCTCCCCCCTCTCCACCTGTGCCGTGCCTCCCCCCTCTCCACCTGTGCCGTGCCTCCCCCCTCTCCACCTGTGCTGTGCCGTGCCTTCCCCCGGGACACGGGTGCACTGCAGGGGTGGGCAATCGCATAATGGCGCTCATCTCAGCCTTCTCCTACGCGCTGCTCACCAACCGCACGCTCATCATTCCGCCCGACTCCTTCCTCTGCCGCTTCTTCTGCGACCCCTTCCCCGGCTCCTCCTGGACCATCCCGCTCGATGCCTTCAAGTGAGTTCCCATCCATGCATGGAAGCTGGGTACCCCTGTGCCATGCATGCATGCACAGCAGTACCCCTGTGCCTCATCACTGCTCTGCTCTGTGCCCCTTTCCCGGCTCCTTCTGGACCATCCCCCTCGACGCCTTCAAGTGAGTCCCCATGCATGCATGGAAGCGGGGTGCACATTGCACTCTACCCCCAACTCAGTACCCCTGCCCTGTCATCACTGCTGTGCTCTGCGCCACTCCGTCTGCTCTGACCTGCGCACTCTGCGCTGTACTCGTGTGCTGTCCACCACCAAGGCACGCACCGGGTCCCGCACGTTCCCTCCGTACCACTTTGTTTCACATGCCCTCCTCACATGCCCTCCTCAAATGCTCTCCTCACATGCCCTCCTCACATGCCCGCACATGCCCTCCTCACATGCCCTCACATGCCCTCCTCGCATGCTTTCACATGCCCTGCGCTCCTCGCACGCTTTCCTCCCTTCCCTCCCAATTACCCTTGCCACATCCTGCACCCTAAATTTCCTGCCCCATCGTGCATCCCATCGCGCCTGCCCATCCCCCACCCCCCGCCCCCAGCACCCTATCCCAGACGGTGCACAGGTCGCCGGCACGCAACAGAGGCCTCATCAATGGATGGGATGGCTTTTGAGTCTGCTCGAAAGTCAATCTGCCCAACCCCCCCACCCCCCGCCCCCAGCACCATATCCCAGACGGTGCACAGGTCGCCGGCACGCAACCGAGGCATCGTCGATGGATGGGATGGCCATGACGTCAGCATGCACATGTCATGGGAGTGAGTGACGTCAGCGTGCACATGTCAAGGGAGTGAGTGATGTTGAGGGTAAAAAATAATGGTCGTTAAAATTTACCGTAAAAGCGGGTATCATATAAAACAGTTACAGTCATAATAAACTGTAGGTGTTTTCCATTTGGTGAAAAGAAAACAACCGTTTTGTACTGTCGTTGAGCAGGTAGTAGAAGAGTAACACATCAACTTATAAGCACAATTGTTAGCCTTCTCTTGCATGATTCCGTTTGTAGCAATCATTGGAATTCTATCCGACCTCTTCGTTGTCTCTCTTTTCTCCCTAACAAGAAACCGGCCGTTTTTTTTTTTTTTTTTTTTTTTTTTTTTTTCGTTGTTTACTGTTAAAAACGGACCTTATTTTACGGAAACTGTATTTTTCAAACTTGGTGACGCCAGCATGCACATTTCATGGGAGTGAGTAACGTCAGCAAACACACGGAGCTCTTGCTGCTGCCAGCACGCTGAGCATGTATTCTATGAGGCTCATGAGGAGCAAAGGCCATGGCGAGGTTCGGATCCCATTGGAGCTGCACCTGCTGCTGCTCACCCCGTGCATGCCTGCCCTCCTTGCTTGCTCTCCACACCCCCTCATCCCCCCCACCTTCCATTTCTTGATTATCCTTCCACTCCCTCCTCTTCCCCCACCCACGGCGCAGCTCCAAGGCGGACACGTGGGGCATGTTCTGTGAGGCGGAGCAGCAGGCCATGGCAACAGCACGCTTCGCCACACTCTACACCGACTACTTTCTCGTGCCGCACTTCTACATGGTGCCCATGCTGCAGGTAGGTACAGTGCCCATGCTGCAGGTAGGTACAGTTAGGGATGAGCAAGAGGCGAACACGAACGTGTTCGCGTTCGCCCCTGCACGAACACCGCCATTCGGCGAACCTAACACTGTTCGGTTCGCCGAACAGCTTTAGCAAAAAAGGGTGTTCGCCGTTCGCCAGTGAAGGCGAACACCTTGTTGACGCAGGCGAACACGAACGTGTTCGTGGCAAACACGTTCGTGTTCGCCCCGGGACTACATTCACTAGATTCACATGTTTGTGGATTGTGCATTGTTGACATTTGTGAGGTGGCTGTAAGGTCCAAATAGAGTAAAATTCAAATCGTTGCACATTCCCTCCCCCATGCTAGTGCCAGCGTGTGACGGCGAAATGCTAGATCTGCACTTAAGCAACGGCGAAATGCTCGGTCTGCACTTAAAAATTGGTCGCGGGCCTATTCGTCGACGAACACATTGGTGTTTGTCGAAGGCCCGTGTCGAACACGAACACGTTCGTGTTCGACGCGCCTCGGCCAGCTGAGCCGGGCGAACGGCGAACGTGTTCGGGCGAACACCGAACATGTTCGCCCCGAACAATTTAGGCAAAAAAAAATTCCAGTTCGGTTTGCCTCGAACGTGTTCGAGGCAAACCGAACAGGAGTTCGTTATATTGCTCATCCCTAGGTACAGTGCCTATGCTGCAGGTACAGCACCCATGCTGCAGGTACAGTGCCCCTGCTGATCCTTTGAAGCGTCCTTTTTAACTGTACGCCTCACTGTCATCAGCCGGGTACGAATTTAGCATGTGGTTGCGTGCGGCACAGCATGTGGTTAGGCTTGAGCAACCCGGCTCGCCGGGTCGGGTCAGAGCCCTTGAAAGCCTGACCCGGCCAAGTCGGGTCAGGTTTACCCGGCCGGGTTGGGTCGACCCGTGATTCGACTTCGGGTCGGGTCGGGTTTTGACCCGATATGATACCCGACCCGATTTCGGGTACCGCGCGCTAGGTCGGGTCGGGTTTCTGGCCCGACCCGAGGGTTCCTCTCAACCAAGTGAACCAGATCGCAAAGTCGAGGGTTACTTTTCCCCTCGACAAGTACTTCGATCTCGATTAACTAGCTAGTGACGCCAGCAGCCAACAAGAAGCAATGTCAGACTTAACTACCCTCTAACCCGCACGCATGTTCAGCAAGTAATATACTACTCGTATTAGTCATTCCTACATCACGCGAATCAGCTGAGGGTTAGATTTTATAGCGAAGTATACAGGTCGCACTCACTTGGCGCATGCATTGCAGGCCCCGCGTTTCAAATCATCCCGGCGCGCCTAGCAGGCGCGCATTGCTAAGGCCGCGACCCAGCTGTAGGCCAGGGTCGGGACATTCTCCAGGGCCGCGCGCGACTGAGCTTTAGGTCATTCAACGGAAGCATAATTTCAAATAATACAAAAGTGCACAGTACTAAAGAGAATGTATCACCCTGCCGATGTGAAGTCTGGTTCCTATACCCGACCCGGACCCGACCCGGGGGCGGGTCAAGCCTGACCCGGTACCCTAATCCCGGGTCGGGTCAGATAACCTGGATGGTCCGACCCGACCCGACCCGACCCGACCCGACCCGACCCGACCCGACCCGACCCGACCCGACCCGACCCGACCCGACCCGACCCGGGACCCGGCTGGCCCGCCCAGGTCGGGTCGGATCGGGTCGGGTCGGGCCTTTGATCATGCGTACATGTGGTTGCGTGCGGCACAGCATGCTGAAATAGGCCGGTGTGGAAGGACAGGAGTGGTTGCACCTTCTGATGCGGCGGGCACATAGACTGAGCTTTTTGGCCTTGAGAGCAGGGTTACAGGCTGGCTGGCGACTCAAAGGCAAGTTGCTGTATTAGAGAGAGGTGGCAGGGGAAGCTCCAGCAGACACGCCCCTGGTGATCTCCCTTGTAGTGATCTGCCCTTTGGTGATCTTCCCTGTGGTGATCTGCCCTGTGGTGATCTGCCCTGTGGTGATCTTCCCTGTGGTGATCTGCCCTGTGGTGATCTGCCCTGTGGTGATCTGCCCTGTGGTGATCTTCCCTGTGGTGATCTTCCCTGTGGTGATCTTTCCTGTGGTGATCTGCCCTGTGGTGATCTGCCCTGTGGTGATCTGCCCTGTGGTGATCTGCCCTGTGGTGATCTGCCCTGTGGTGATCTGCCCTGTGGTGATCTGCCCTGTGGTGATCTGCCCTGTGGTGATCTGCCCTGTGGTGATCTGCCCTGTGGTGATCTGCCCTGTGGTGATCTGCCCTGTGGTGATCTTCCCTGTGGTGATCTGCTCTGTGGTGATCTGCCCTGTGGTGATCTGCCCTGTGGTGATCTTCCCTGTGGTGATCTGCCCTGTGGTGATCTGCCCTGTGGTGATCTTCCCTGTGGTGATCTGCCCTGTGGTGATCTGCCCTGTGGTGATCTGCCCTGTGGTGATCTGCCCTGTGGTGGTCTGCCCTGTGGTGATCTGCCCTGTGGTGATCTGCCCTGTGGTGATCTGCCCTGTGGTGATCTGCCCTGTGGTGATCTGCCCTGTGGTGATCTGCCCTGTGGTGATCTGCCCTGTGGTGATCTGCCCTGTGGTGATCTTCCTATCATCTGCCCCGTGGTGATTTTCCACGACCCCTCTCAACAATGCTGAGCTGCCTCGGACAGAAATCTCACCACTTGGCCCGATGCCCACTTGGCTCGATGCCCACTTGGCCCGATGCCCACTTGGCCCGATGCCCACTTGGCTCGATGCCCACTTGGCCCGATGCCCACTTGGCTCGATGCCCACTTGGCCCGATGCCCACTTGGCTCGATGCCCACTTG